CAGACAGACAGATACATAGACAGACAGACAGATAAGCAGACAGACAGATAGATAGACAAGCAGACAGACAGATACACAGACAGACAGACAAGCAGACAGACAGATATATAGACAGACAAGCAGACAGACAAGCAGACAGACAGATACATAGACAGACAGACAGATAAGCAGACAGACAGACAGATAAGCAGACAGACAGACGAATCGATAGATAGATAGATATTCATATGCAAATCCAACATCACAAATATTAATATGTGCTTACCGTAAACTCCTCCTCTTCCTCATCGCCGGACTCTCCGAAGATGTCTGTGATCATTTTCCTGAGGGACAGAAAGAGACGGTTACACACACACACACACACACACACTCACACAGACAGACGGGCAGAGAGACAGATGAAGAGCGTTACTGACTCTTCCTCATCGTCACCGGAGTCGCTGTCGCTGCCGAACAAAGCCTTCTCATTCTTATTCCCTGCATCTCTCTTCATCGTGTCCTCCTCATCCTCGCTGTCTGAGCCCAGCTCCTTCAGTTTAGCAGCTAAACTCTTATCAGGAGCTCCAGAGCCTTCATCGCTGTCAGAGTCTTCATCATCAGACACCAGCCTGCTTTTCTTCACCTCTGCAGAGACACAAGCACCATCATCATCATCATCCGGTGACATCATAGAGCAAGTGTTAATGACAAACCGTAATTCTACCTTTCTCCTCATCTTCATCACTGTCTGACAGAACAGACTTCTTCCTCTTCACTGATAGAGAAGTCACAACCAAAAACAGTGAAAGTTTAATTTATAAACTTAATTTTATTATTATAATGATTATAACAATAAAACTAAATTGAAATAAGATTACAATTATATATTACAAATATTAAAAGTAATATAATATAATAAACCATAATAAATGTATAATTATAATAATATTAACATATATTACAGTAAACTTATGAGAGTATATTATAAACAATATTATTAACAATAATAATTATTAAAATTGCTGAATATAATAAGTATAATACAGAATTTATATAATTATCATCACTATAATAGCATTAAAAATATAATAATATTAATAACAATTATACATACGTATATATACAAAATGTATTTACGTTATAATTAAATATTATAATATATATGTATTATACTATTTATTACAAAGTAATTAAATAAAATTAAACATTTAGAATTATATAATACTCAAAGTCGTTTCTGATTTCATTCTGAGTAAACAAACATACCAGGCTTCTCATCTTCATCATCATCATCATCACTGGCCAGAGCCCGTCGTTTAGGCCCTTCATCCTCATCACTTCCTGTTTCCCGTTTCGGTCTCTCGTCCTCATCCTCACTGTCCGAGTTCATCACAGCTTTCCATTTTCCCTTCTGCTTCCTCCCTCCCTCCTCCTCCTCCTCCTCCTCCTCCTCCTCTTCTGCATCAGAGTCTCTCAGAGTTTTCAGTTTGGGTTTGTCCTCGTCCGAATCGCTGCCCGCGTCTGATTTAGGGCTGTGTCTCTTCTCGGTTTCCTCCGGCTCGGAGTCGCTGGCTGGGTGCGGTTTCTCCTCCTCCTCCTCTTCTGCATCAGAGTCTCTCAGAGTTTTCAGTTTGGGTTTGTCCTCGTCCGAATCGCTGCCCGCGTCTGATTTAGGGCTGTGTCTCTTCTCGGTTTCCTCCGGCTCGGAGTCACTGGCTGGGTGCGGTTTGTCCTCCTCATCCATGTCCGAGGTGCTCGCTCTTCGCTTCACAGGAGAGCTGCCCTCCTCATCCTCCTCGCTGTCTGCGGGCCGCGGCGGCTCGGGCTCCGAATCGCTCGCGTCTCCTCCTCCACGAGCCTCGTGATCCGACCCGCTGTCTGCGTTCTCAGACCTTCTGTCGTGAGCGGCGTCCTCGTTATCACTGCCGTCATCCTTCACGAGCAGAACAATCAGAAAACAACGTTTAAACCAGGGGTCTCCAACCTTATTTCATTCGGGAGCTACTTTTAAAAAATGAAAGCGGCTGAAAGCTACCAAAGTTATACAATACTTCTTAAATAATGCATCAATCCAAACTGTTATACACGGCATTGTTAAAATGTGCTGGAAATAGGGTTGCAAAAAATGTGGAAAATTTCCAGTAAATTTCGGAAATATTCCAGAAATTTTGGAAACTTTCTAGGATTTTTTTGGAATATTCCAGGATTTTTTTGGAAAGTTTCCGGAAATTTTCCACCCCTTTGCAACCCTAGCTGTAAATATTAAAAAAGTACTGATACACACACTGAAATAATTGTGCCAAGTTTTACCAGAACAGCCAACAAATAAAATTTTGCAGCATTATGCACTTTTTGTTTGCATAAACATTAAAAAAGCATGGCCAGATTTTAAGCTAACAAAAAATATTCATAACATGTTACCTATCTAAGTTTTGACCATTTTTTAAAATAAAACTATAACATATCAGCCTTTATATCTTTTTTTAATAAAAGGATGAGTCAGAATGATCAATTAAATTTTATCTGCTCCATAAAAGCTAATGTGCATTTTAAAAATCTCAACACTTCTGATAACAAGGTAGGCTATTTTCTATCAACCAGTTAAGATTTACAACAAAAATTTGGTCTGATTTTCGCATTGGTCTGAACAAAAATAACAGACGGGCTGAAAGAAAATGTAACTCCACTTTCCGACAGCAGGTGGCGCTGATAGAACAGCAGAAATAGAGCAGTTTCCCTGGTAACCGCTGTTATCAAAGCAGTACTGTGCTTTTAAACACTGCTTTATTAGGCATTACACGGAGGGAAAATGAAAAGCAAATATCATAGAAACTTTTCTGAAGACAGTCAGTTCTCCCTTATGCATTCATAGAATTAATTAATTCATACATTCTTTCATTTAATTTCTTTCAGCACTCTGCCTTCATTTATGTTTTTACACAAAACGAAACCTACGCTGCATGTTGCACCTGCGTGAAACTGTTAATTTTGCTTAATGCTGAGCAGTATTTATCTCAAGTTTTACCACATATTTATAGAGTAATCCTATAGAGTAAAAAGATAAAGTTATTTAGTCGAGCAAATTTGAGCAGAGTGATTTTTCTTTTGCAAGCTGTTCTCACTTTCAGACCAAATGCACGGTTCTGACACATACATCAGATTTTCTAAGTTTACGTTCATTTAATTTTGTATTTTTATTTACTTAGTTAAAACTGTGCTTATGAGGACACTCGCCAAAATGGGCATTTTGACTTAATTTTTTGTGTATTTGGCCATTCAAGCCAGTGCTTGAAGTGGAAAAAAAGAAGTGCCGGTATATGAAAAGAATAATTTACTGCCATCTGGACGCAAGTCACTATTCTCTCCACCATGATGAAATTGTCTGTTTTTTCTACTTTCTAGGATTTTTTTGGAATATTCCAGGATTTTTTTGGAAAGTTTCCGGAAATTTTCCACCCCTTTGCAACCCTAGCTGTAAATATTAAAAAAGTACTGATACACACACTGAAATAATTGTGCCAAGTTTTACCAGAACAGCCAACAAATAAAATTTTGCAGCATTATGCACTTTTTGTTTGCATAAACATTAAAAAAGCATGGCCAGATTTTAAGCTAACAAAAAATATTCATAACATGTTACCTATCTAAGTTTTGACCATTTTTTAAAATAAAACTATAACATATCAGCCTTTATATCTTTTTTTAATAAAAGGATGAGTCAGAATGATCAATTAAATTTTATCTGCTCCATAAAAGCTAATGTGCATTTTAAAAATCTCAACACTTCTGATAACAAGGTAGGCTATTTTCTATCAACCAGTTAAGATTTACAACAAAAATTTGGTCTGATTTTCGCATTGGTCTGAACAAAAATAAGGCAGACAGATTGAATGAATTTGTAAATCCACAGTCTGACAGCAGGTGGCGCTGATGAACAGCAGAAAAGAGTATAGTAGCATCATCATATAACATCATATGTTGGTTTCAAAATGCAATAAACGAAATTGAGTTTCCGCCAAAATCAGTATTGTATCTGGTCGGTATTGAAAAGCCCATTTTTTATTTTACGCAAAATGCGATATCTGCCGTGTTATTCTGTCATGTTTTCTCCCTTTTGTTACAAACCGCGACAAACTCCAGTCTCCCTTTTCTGCAGAATGAAGTCGCATTCAATTATGAACGCAATATTGAGTAGCTTGTCAGTGTTTTTATTTATGCCATTAATGTTTTTGTTAATACAGCGTATAGCACTAGTCAACTAAATGAATGTAACAT